GGTCAACAGGAAATGGTTCCACAGATAAATTGAGGACATGCTATGTGTTCCTTTCTGTGTGGCTTGCAGTGTCCTGGGCTGCTGAATACCCCAGGGCACCTAATCTGCAATAACTTGGGAACCTATACACAAGCAGTGAGGCTGCTCCAATGCACTGTAATTACACCGCTCAGAGCAGACTCGATTAACTGTCTGCTGGAGCGTGGTAATTACTGTGCAGACTGCAGCGTCTTGTATTGGCAGACTCCATCGTGTTGTAGACACCAGTGTTTTGTATCAGCATCCCTGTGCTTAAGAAGCTCATTCAGCAAGCTTTAGATAAAGCGCCCCCACTACTGTTTTTAAGCACGTGGACACTGATACACAAAATGCATCGGCATTTCAGTTGCAGCGGCTCTCAGAGCCACACTAACCCCCCTGCCCTCCCCTGGAGCACTGTATAAATGTGTGTGTGTGTGTGTTTGTTTGTTTGTTTGTTTGTTTCTTGGGGGTGGTTTGATACATAGTCTGAAAGCAATGTCAGATCATGGAACTCTCCAACAGTTATGCTATTATAAAAACCTTGTCTCTTGGCATTTCCTGGACTTTCATGGCTACAACACTACAGCCTTACTACTCTGAAACAATTAATTCAATAGGGTCTGCAAGATTGGCACCTGTCACAGGATTGTTATTTCTACAAAACCTAAATGCAAGGACCAGTCTCAAAGCTAACACAAATGTTTCCATAGTTGGCTAGATAATTCCAAGAAAAACAAGTGTTGTGCTACAATATAGAGTTGGATCCTGCTCACGGGGTTGGTTGGTTGGTTGGTTGGTTGGTTTGTTTTGGAGGGTTGCCACTGGTTTCAGTTGGAACCTGGATCTTTATTTTCCTCTGGTAATCTCATGGCTATATGACTTATTCCAGATTGTGTCTGGTTTGGATCATGCATCTAGGCTTTAAAGTGAAATTTCTATCCAAAAGATCTCAAAACTTTTGTGAATAACCACAGTTAATGTCTGCCCAGGCTAATTAAAAATTATTAGTACTAACCGCCAAGCTTGAGACCCCCCAAACTATATCTCATGAAAAATGTGGCTCTTGGGCATGTGACTTGAAATAGTTTTGTAATTTTTCCAAATTATATGTTCAGTTTTCCATGCAACATTGCCAAATACGATGTTGAGTATGTTCACAGTAATTCAGTGTGAGGCACACGTCCAAGCAAGAAGACAGGGAACGAGGGATGAGGGAAATCCCCAGGCAAGAGAAGCACACAAACAGCTTCTGCCACAAACAATAATATAAACTGGAAATGGGAATAGGAATTACAGTGAATTACAAGATGAATGCAAGTCAACAGTAAAATATTGTTTTAAAAAAAAAAGGTAATAGCAATCTGAGAAGTACTAACAGGAAAATTATAGGAAGGTTGAAGAAAGTGATTCTTCCATGGAATACAGCATCAGTGAAGTCTTACCTAGAGCACAATGTTCAGTTCTGGGCACCACACTTCAGGACAATGTGGACAATTTGGAAAGAATCCAAAGAGCAACAAAAATGATTAGAGATCATCTGAGATTGAAAGGTTTGGGGATTATTTAGTTTGCAGAAGAAAACTGAGAGGGATTTGAAAAGCCTTTAACTCTGGGGGGAAAGTTGTTATAGAGAGGAAGCCGATCTCTGTGTCCACAGGGGACAGGACATGTCCTAACAGCCTTGAATTGCAACAGGGGAGATTTAGGTTGTGTATTAGGAAGAGCTTTGTAACTCTGAGGGTAGCTAAGCACTGAAATAGGTTACTTAGAGAGGTTGTGGAATCTCCATTACTGGAAATTCTTAACCACAGTTTGGAGAAACGTTTATCTGGGATGATTTAGTCAGGGCTGATCCTACCTTGAGCAAAAGGCTATGCTAAATGGATTCTTGAGGTCCCTACCTGCCCTGTTTTTCTGTAATTCTAGTTCTGTCTCATGTTGTGAGGCTTTGTACACTGAAGCCAGATGCTTGCAGTGCTATGCAAATCCCATAGATGGCGGTGTGGACATGGAGTGCTGTGCATGACTGAGCAAAATAGTTGTGGTCAATGCCAACATTTTCTCTTAAATTGAGCGTTCAATCAGGCTAGCTTGACTAAGGCACACCAGTTTCTATAGCTAATGATGCACAACAGTGGTATAGCTAGTGTTACTAGATTGTGTTTTAGTGTAGTCTAAACCGAGACTACAGATTATCCCGTTACCTAGATTATTTTTTATAAACTATGGCTGCTTACAGATGTGGGAAAAACAAACAAACAAACAGTGCTTTACTTTCAGCTCAGTGCACCCCCACACTGAGTGCAGCACATGCCCAGCAGAGGCACTGTGTTAGCTTGACCTAGTTCACCCCATGTCTGTATAGATTGCATGCTTCAGCGGGGCTTTTTGGCACTTGTATCTAATAGCTGATTGAATCAGCTTTAGATAAAATTGTCAAAAAGCTCTGCTGAAGTGCCCAATTTATATAGCTGTTAGGGAGCTGGGTCAAACTAATGCGCTTCCTCTTCTGGTAAAGCACTGTTTGGGGGGGGGGGGGGTCATGCCTGTCAGTGCTCTATATCCCTCATTGCATTAGCTACTTTGTTTTTCTCTCCTACCCACTTTGCCTCTCTCAGTAGTGTCCCCACCTTTGTCCTCCTCACTCCCTACCCCTTGTACTAGTCACTGCTTTTTTTTTTTTAGCAACTTTGCTTCCTGCTGTCCGTCCACAGCATCTAGGTAGGCCCTGTGATTATGAAAGCTTATGTTATACATCTTTGAGTTATCCTGTAAAGATACAAGTCTACCCTGCTTCCTAGGCTGCAGACTAACATGGCTAACTGCCTCTGGACGCATCTACACATGACACTTTAATGCGCATTAGCCTAAGTTAAAACATGTTAAGGGTGTGTGTCTACATGTGCGCTCCCTTAATGCACATTAAAAATGGTGAATTTAGGCTATTCGTGTCTAAATTTGATGCTGGAAAATGCAGCTATCAAATTTAGGTGCAAATATTAACCCATGTGTAGACGCATTAAAGCGCATTAACTCTGTATGTGTGTGTGTGGACTAACTTAGGACTAACTTTAGACCCAAATCAGTCTGCACACAGCATTAATATGCTTTAAAGCCTGCATGTGTAGATGCCTGCCTAAACCTGCTTAATGCACATTAAGTTAATGCACACTAAATTTAGGCACGCTTAAAAACACATGTAGACATGCCTTCTCTCTTCCTTTGACTCACCAGCCCGCATGACCAGGCATCTATTTACAGCTGGGTCAACTTGGGGCAGCCTTTGGCAAGAGTCCAGTGCAAGACTCAAATGCATGCTTCTAGCTGCTGTAAGGCAACTTAGCCCTTCTGCCACTGCACCCCATGATCTTGAAGGGATGGGCATGTTGTCATTGCACCCCATGGGGTAGATGAAACTTATCACAACTCCCTTGGCAACTTCTGGCACATTGCAGTATCTCTGAGGAAACTGTGCTATCTGCTGTGGTACTTCGTACAATATTTATAGCCAGAGTTCATTCAACATTTCTTATTAATGCCCTTGGGCACAACCTGGCTTAGGCAGAGAGATCTAAGAAGATAGCAGGTCAAAGGTGAGATGGCATTAGGCCTGAGGAGCCTTGATATTTAAATTGTTTCAGAAGGAGGACGTGTTTGATGTTCTGCTTAGAACTTGAGCAGCAAGTGAGTTGCAGCAAGTGAAGACTTACAAACCAAATAATTTCCAACTCTTCTTGAAAAAGAGCTAGAAGAGGAAAGAGCTAGGAGCTAGAAGAGGAACTGGAAAATTCGTGGTTGTAGCCACAGTAACTATAACTGTAATTGTTATAGCTGTAAGGTGGCAAGCCATTCACAGTGACATTTAAAATGATTGGCCAGTCAGCTGGTTTCCTCTGTATTGAGTAGAGTAGACTCATTTGATTGTCATTAAAAGTAACAGTTCAGATGAGAGAGATTTGCAGTCTGCTAAGAAGGGAACTGTTTCCCTTTCTCTGGCCCCAGACAAGCTAGTAGGCACAGCTTCTAGTCAGTGTTTGCCATTCCTCTATTTCTCAGCTGCAATGTTTTGTGGAATAATTATAATTCGTGCTCTTGTAACACCTTCTCTCTGAGTATGCCTACACATGTGATTAATGCACACAAATAAACCTCAGAACATATTGCTATGGAGTTTATTTTTTTGCAGCACATGGAGCCCGGGTTGGAGCAGGACAGACTGGCAGGGAATCCAGTGGGGTCAGCCTGCCAGCCCAGGGCTGCGCCGACTGGGCTTCATGTGCTGCAGAGCAGCTGGCTGAGGCATAAGGGTGCTTCAGTGCAGGGGCTGCCTGCCAGCTAGTCCCGTGCTGAAGCACCCTGTGCTCCAGGCACCCAGGGCACCATCTACACATGAGCTGCTATACACAACATCCCCGCAGCAGGGTAGTAATTGTATTTACAAGTGCTTATATACAAGTACTTATATTTTTGTGTGCCCTAATAAGGGCGCATGTGTAGATACCAAGATGTTTACTGCACAGTTAATTAGTCAGCTGCACAGTAAATGTCTCATGTAGATGCACCCTCCAAGTATCAGAGTGCTTCACCAACATAGGCCTGGATCCTTTAGCTCTCCATGTGGAGGTTTTACAGATGCTTTGTTGACAACTCATTTGAAGAAAAATCCAGCAAAAAAACAAAACTCTTGCTTTTATCTTTGATCAAAACAGCAACTGGAAGCATTTAACTAAGCATTACAATTATGTAATGCTCCCTCACTCACGCTTTAGTAAATACCCTGCTTTTTAATAACAAGTTCACTGTTGGAAAAGGCATGCTTTCCAGCTGCTGCTAACACTACTCTTACCCTTTAAAAAAACCTGCTATCCAAAATACCTTTTTGTTAAATTCCTGAAACCCACAGTTCAGAAACAAAGAGTTTACATGACAATAGCAGAAAACTGAATTTGGTCTTAAACGTTTAAAAATGGGAAAAGACATTTTTTATAGTGCTTTATTCTGAATGATAAAAGGTAAACAATACTAAACACAGGCAGCAGTAAGACTTTTAGACTCAAATTTATGCAATTTACAGAGATGTCGCATTTAATTTGAATCTAACACATGTTAACAACTGATTTCCTCTTCATATATTATATACTAAGTGCATGGAACTTCAATTTCTACTTCTACTCTGAAGTTAGAAATTACAGACAACACAAAGTGAAAGCATGGTAGTACTAGCTGCATAGCAAAGGCTTGGTTCAGTAACAGATTTCTATCTTCATGTTCACAGACCATGCACAACATAGGCTCTTCTTACCTGAAACTTATCTTTGTTTCCTAATTAAAGGATCATGATTAAGAAAGGTCCAATCTGTAGGGCCAGATTCTATACTTGTGTAAATTTACATAGCTCCATTAAGGTCATCAGATGAGTATCCCATTGTTATAAGTATAAAGAATTATTTGTATAGACTATTTTATCCCTAGATAATGTATGCAGTACATGTAGGAAAATATAAGGACTATCATGCTGTTTTATACCCATCAGCCCTAATCTACAGGAGACTGGATAGCTACACTGCTGAACCTAAATGGACTCTTGCTAAGGGCTCCATTCAGGTACCCTAGTGTGCAGTCACTTTGAAGATAGGGGCTATAACCTTGGACCTCAAAGTATTCAACTTCTATGCAGCAGAAATCCATTTCCACGTTTTGGGAGATTTTGGGCCTGGTCAAAGAAAACTTACAGAAACAAGCTAGTTCTTTGTATGATACTCCAGAGCCCTTACCAATTGTGGTTCATCATCTGTTAGGAAGTTTGATTTAGAATTCATTGTGTTTATGAAAAAGAAATGCATCAGAGAAACAGCCAGGCTGGTTGCTGATATTGGGATATTTCCTGAAGAAGTTCATCATACTTCCTTTGTGCTGACCCATCCTTTATTTTAGGTGCGTGAAACTAAAGTTGTATTTATTTTGTAGGACTGCTGCATATGAAAAGTACATTGTACTACCTGTTTGATAAATGAAAATCTTAAATTACCTTTCAAAGGTGATACTCAAGATGCAAAGCTTTACTGAGACATGCATCACCATAAATGTAATTCTGCTTTTTTTAATTAGCATGCCCTGTTTAAGGAGAACAGAATCTGCCAGCGAGAATAATGTTGCGAGTTTTGCTGTGCTTAAACAAGAAAATAAATGGGTGGTCAGCCTTAAATTCATCTTTGTGCTGTAGGATCCGATAACCTGGTACCTCTCTAGATTCCCCACCTTCTTCCTTTACTTCCAGAGAGACTTTATGAATGATCTTTGACAAAACCACATCTTTAGCATCACACATTTCAGAGAGATCTGCTGTGTTCTCATCAAAAATGCTTGTCATCCCCAGGCTTTCCAGAACAGGTTTCAGGTCGTAATCCCCTTCCACCTTGAATTTTGGAAGAAATACATTCACTTTGGTATTGGCCATCACACTGGGATTGGTCCATTGTACCAGTGTCTCAGGGGTGAGCTCCCTTTCCAGCTGAAAAAACAAGGCAAGGAAACAAATTAGCAGCTGGTTCAAGGGTGGGGGAAAAAGAAATCTTTCCAACCCCCTTGAAGGAATGTCCTCTTCCTCCTCATTGCTTTTTCATGATTCAGTCTTAATCAGATGACAGTGTGTTACAAAAGTAGATACATAAATAGATTTTTCAGGGACTTGACTAGCGTGGGATAGAATCGCATGTTAGGCATCTAAGTCCTCTTAGATGACTCATAGGTAGAATGGACTCTGACCCTAAGTGCTTTGCTCTAATGGCCAGGTCACCATTCAATTAAAATGAAAACTACATTTTGAAAAGTATGTAGGCATTATATAATGTTTATAGTCACCTCATGGGCTTTAGAAAAGCACTGAGACCCTTGTCTCTCATAGATTTTAGTTCAGCTGTCCCTGCCTTTAATTTTCCCACCTGAAAACATAATCTGACACTTGACTACAGTAGAAATTCTTATATCATGAACACCACGCTAGGTGTGGAGAAGGGAAAGGAATAAACACGCAGGGACGCCCATGTAAATGCTGTCTGTTTCCCTTACCTGTTCCAAGCCGGTGGTATCATCTTCAATCTCTTTTGGTAGCAAAATGAGCATGCTGATATGCTTGTTGAGGCAAGGGAGCTCAAGGATAGAGACTTTTAAATCCTTTACATAGCCTAAGCAAAATGTAGCTTCCAGGTTCATCATTTGCACTGGTTTGGTTTCAGTCTGTAAAACACAGAGGGAACAATCTGGGACCCCTTTACCTTCATAAACAAGAGAGAGAGAGAGAAAGAGGAAATGTGTGCTTGAATGAGTAACCTTGTGTTTCACTTGAAGTTAAGGGCCTGCCTGGCCTTGTGGCTAAGAGCATATATATTGCCTAAAGGGCAGCGCAGTCTCAACCAGCATAAATCCCTGAGGATGTATCAAAGGCTGAAACACAATAGGGATGTAGGGATAATTTATTTTTGTTTCACTGTGAAAACCAAAAAAAAATCAAATTACAATTTTCAAGTTAACCCCAAAGAAAACCAAAAAAAAAGAAGTCATTTTCAGGTCTTTACAATGTTCCATTAATCCTGAAATGAAGCTTTCCCTCCCCATTTTTGTTTTGCCCTTCCTAACACTACATTAGTTTAAATGTTGTTTCAAAACAAAGTCAAAACAAAATCAAAACAGTTTGACTTGAAACCATCAACGTTTTGTTTAAATTTTTTCACAGTAAAAACTCCTTTTCTGGTTTGAAAATGTGTGTTGAGCTTGGCACCTTCAAAAGTTGTTTCAACTAACCCAAAGGTGTATTTTTTTTTCAGTGAACAAGCTTTTTATTTGAACAGTTTTGTCCATTTTGATTTACCAAAAGCAGCCTAGTCACCAAATTCATCCTTAGCCACAGATTTCTGAAGTTAAGAACCACAATGGCCAAACCTAGATGGACCTACTGGGAAAGCATAGCTGATGCAGAGTGCTAGAGTCTAGAGCCTGGTCAAAGACAGGGAGAATGTGGGAGTTGCACCCTATGTGAGACAGGTCTCGTCAACACTACAAAGCCCTTATACAGACGGGACCAAGGACATCCTGCTCACACCGCCTATCTCCTCAAGCACCCTACAAACATGGAAATAGATCAGTGAGGCCATTCTGTGTTCATCCCTTTAACAGCCTCCCTCAAGCCCTCAGTCTCCATGTCTGAGGGTGGCGACTGGGCATGATCCCCAAGGAGTCTCACCAGTGTGTTTCCAGGTTTAGATCATATCAGCAGGCACAGATGGATAGGATTTGCATGAGCCTCTTTTTGTATGAATGCACCACTGTTGAGATAAAGGCAGGCTACACATCTGACAGAGTGTACTCCAAGAGAGACCAGAAAAGGGACATGTAGCCTAACAACTGTGACAGGCATTAGCGACGCGTAGCGGGAAATGGGAGGGCACATGTTGTGTCCCCCCTCGAGATTAGCCCTCGCTGGCCGGGCTCCAAGTGGGGGCACCGAGAGAAACATCGCTGACACTTCCGGTTTTGCCATTAGCACTTCTGGTTTTGCCACCGGCACTTCCGGGGACCCGCTCCCAGTTGGTGATTGGCCGCTAGTGCGCCCCCAGACTCAGGAGGCACCGGTTGCCCATGGTGACAGGTTTATATACTTACATTTTCTGCCCCACACTGGCTACTTTTAGCTTTGGATGCTATTTCTGGTACAGGTTATAATCCCTGAGAAAGTCACCTTTGTGAATGCTCAACAGACTTCCTCCAAGGGCAGTTAATGATCAGCTTTGCCTGTTGCTCACTGGACTCACCACCAGCTGTTCTTACCAGAACCCCCTTTTCTCTCCTCAGAAGTCTTCCTTCTCTCGTCATGCACCAGAGCAAGCTTCAGAGTACAGCGAGAAATACATTTGGTGATTCTCCTTCAGATCAGGTGAACAGCTGGGTTGGGGGCTCCTCTAAGTCTTTGAAAAGTTTATACAAAGCTACCAGTATGGTTAAAACTATCTTTTTTAAGGCCCCAAAACAAGAGCTCAGTGACACCATGGTAATACTGAAGATTTCTAGTCCTCTGTGTCAGGATTTGCTTACTTCAGTATTCACAAACATGTATTTAATTTGGATACACAAGTATTCAGATACTTGTTTGTATACATACCTTGTTGATTCTAAATGGACATTCTTTGATTTCTGCCTCTGGGAACTTCTTCATCCAGTTTGTTATAAAATAAGCTGCATTAACCAGGAGGATCTTAGTTTGGCCGTTTACACTCTCCTCACTCAAAATGTTCTCCATCTTACCTGTTGGCATGTTTTGAAACATTTCATTAATAATGGCCCTCAGTTTAAGTTTCACTGTCTGAATATCTGACGATGCTGCTAGAAAATGGCACCTGACAGTAGCTAGTCAATGGGAAATGATAATTCAAGAGGGAAACATCCTAATTCTGGTTTATTGTGTAGAGTCCAGTTCGGGTTGGGGGGAAAAGAGAGGATCTGACTTGCCAAATTATGTCATATCATAAAAAATCATTTATGGCATACAGATGGCTTACACTGCTCTGAGTTTATTATAGTAATAAAACCAATTTCTTAAAATTATTGAAACTTCACTTTAGATAAATGGTCTCATTTTACTGTTGCTTAAGATTTTTTCCTAGAAAAATGTTAAGGACTGTTGGCCAACTTCTTCCTCTGTTAAACTCTGAAGCAATGGAGTTATGCCAGCAATGAATTTGACCCAGTATGGGTGAGGAGAACTAGCAAGTGCAGCTATATGGTCTTTGTCACATGTTAGACTTAGGACCACAAGTGACTGGTAGGGGAGGCATGGGGGGCACATGCCCCCCCTGAGATTGGCCACCAATTTGGCTCTGCTCAGAATGGGGCAATTTTTTTGCCACGCAGGCTGGGAGCGTGTTGGGGGGGGGGCACTAAGCCGCGGCACAGAAGTATAAGAGTGGATATGGGGCTTTTGGCCCACCCACAAATTGTGCCCTCTCCCCCCAGACTCAGGAGGCACCAGTCACCCCTGCTTAGGATCTTTTAAGCATAAGGGTCTACACATTCAGGCAAGAATGCATGTGGTATGTTAGTCAACTTAGGACTTTGGGGGCAAGGAGTATCTCCACATGGTGTTAAATAATGTGTTATGCTATCATGACACTGCTCCATGGAGATAAAACAGCTCATGTGGTGCCAGGTCTGGGACTTACAAACAGCTGTTCATCAAGTGCTCAACCATCTCCAGCCTTGTCTAGAGGGCTGGAATCATTGTAAGCATTACCATGAGACTGCCCAGAAAACTTTAAGTCATCATAATGCTTACTATGATCTAAATAAAATATGCCCTAAGTGTAACAAGCCCCTGAGAGCTGTGGCATTTCAGGTACCAGACACAGAAAGGTACTGCCTTAGCAGGCTGCTGTTTTCAATATTCTAATTCTGTGAGATGAGTTTGTAATGTGTTAGGGCTAAACTTGAAAGGGACTCAAAGCTAGTGCTGCCAATATCTAGGTTAAGCCAGAGAAATGAAAAAGCAAGAAACACTATTTTTGTTAGAGTCCACGACCAAGTACTCCATGACCTTTCAAGAAGCTGTAAAATATATTCTGCTTTCTAGATCAGGGGTGACAAATATACAGCCCACAGGCCAGATCCAGCTCATGGGACAGTATGATCTGGCCTGTGGGTCTCAAACAGATCTCACACACTGAGTGCAGCATACAGAGCTGGTCTGACACAGGGGCTGGACCCAGCACTGCAGACCCTACACGCAGCCGAGGAGGCTGGCATGGAATGTATGCTGTAGGTAGTGCCCATACCATGCTGACCCTGCACATTGTCTCTGGGGTTAGTCTTGACTGGGCCGTGCCAGAGCCAGCACACAAGGCCATGCTGATGGGGCATAGTATGCACCATGTGCCAGCTCCCTGAGCCAAATGCAGTGTACACAGCCAGTCCAGCCCTGCACACCACAGGGATAGCATAGGGCACCAGGTACAGCATGTGCCAGGCCCATTCCAGGGCTAGCACAGGGTGTACACTGCATGTGGTGCTCCATTGCACTGGCAGCCCTGCACATGATCTCTGGTGTGGCCCAAACCAACCCACAGACAAGTCCAGAGACCTGAATGTGTTTGACACTCCTGTTCTAGATGGTTAAATTCTAGCCGAGAGAGGAATAGGATGAACAGTGCTTAAGACTTGGCTTCCTCACAGAATCTGGAAAAGTGGAGGTACTGTAAGGTACTTAAAAAGTCCCATCTGTGGCAGACCTGGAAGAATAGTAGGCACCCATCAATCCTTCTGGATCATGGTGTACGCATGAGAGATCACCAGGACTGTTGACGCATACACCTAGGCAGGAGTACGGAGGAGTGGAGGCTACCCAGACCTTTTATCCCTCCTTTAGGTCATTGAGACAGAATCCAAAGGTCAGACCGAGTCCAGCCATTTGGTGCATTGATGGCTGTAGTTAAATGTGCATCCAGGAATCAAACCTAGGTCTCCTACATGGCAGAAAAGGGATGCCTGTACATGTGTGGGGATGCTGCTCTGACACACTGTAATTACAGCGCGTCAGAGCAGACTCAATTAATAGAGTCTGCTGAAGCGTGCTAATTAGCCTGCTCCAGCAGCCTCCATGTCCTGTGTATTCAGCATCCCCGCGCTTCAAAGTGGCAGCAGGGGAGCTTTAACTAAAGCTTGTTGAACAAGTTTTAGTTAAAGTGCCCCCACTGCCATTTGGAAGCATGGGGACGCTTAATACACAAGATGCTGTGGACACTTTCATTACAGCAGCTCTCAGAGCCACTCTAATTAAAGCACCCTCCTCCCCCCACCCTCCCCAGAGCACGGGATGGATAGGGGAGGGTGACAGGGAGCAGAAAGCAGAGCAACAGATGAGGCAGGGAGCACAGGGGATAGACCAGAAAACAGCAGCAAACTGGGCAGGGGAAGGGGATCAGGTTGACACTTGGGGAGGGAGCAGGGTTTATCTTGAGACATGCCTGCCAAAAAGGTTGCCCCCCCCCGGTTTAGATCACAATGTGCAACTCTTACAATCAAAAACAATTATTATTACAAATAGACCCACTGAAGCTAAAGAAGGGTAGGATTAGGATAAGGGATTCTAGGATAAGGAAGGATTTTTACAGTCAGGCCCATTGAAAAGATATAGTAATGAAAACAAGCAATTGCAAACGGTGTAACATTACTAATTCTCACTGTTCCTACTACAATATTATTCTGTTTGCTTTCCATGTGTGTTTATATCTGACAGTGTTAACAGAAAATACTGCAAGGAAACGGGCAGATCTAGGATTTTGAAAATGTGGGTGCACTTGGTGTAGCACACCCTCGCAAATAATATAACACATTTTACACCTGTTAGAGAAACATAAAGCTTTACTAATATGGTAAGGGACTAGCACTATATTATTCATTTTAAGATTAAGGAAAACAACAAATATACCTATTGGAATGTGCACTAATTTGCTAGAGTATGTTTGAAGTTTAAAAAAACACAGCAAAGTAGGGTGTCATTAGTCCTGTAGTCATTACAGTTAAATGTACATCTCTTATTAAGATTCATAAAACATCTAGCCTTCAGTATCTTGGATGATGCCTCCAATACTTCTCTGTCAATCATTTCTACACCTGAGTTAAGGATTTTAGCTAGAGCTAAAAACAGTCTGCAGGGCTGTAAAATAGAAGAGAGACGTTACTAGGAAGGGCTAACAGACAGCACAATTTCAGAAGAAAAGATCACTTGAATAGTGAAATATTAAGATCATAAAAAAGGAGAAAGTGTCATTAGTACCGGTAGAGTGAAGAGAGATTAGCAGGAATCAGGGATGATAAGGAGCCATGAAGTCAGTAGACTCTCCCAGCATGCCTGACAAGAAATTCTCTTGCCCCTCCCAAGCAGTTGGTTTTATAATTTGGGTGAAGGAGGAATCAAAGGGGGTGGTTCAACTGCACCACTGCACTCTTCCCCCGCCTCCCCCCCATCCATCCCTGCAAGGAAATAGAATTCTCTCCTTAAAGAGGTAATGAGAGCTAAATTATACTTACCATCAGTTAGCTCTGAAACAGATTTGTTGATTTGCTGTCTGGTGTCCTCAGGTTTTTCTTTGAAGTCTACTAGTTCTAGTTCAGAAGGAAAAGGTCTCTTTGTGGAACTGATGAAGTCCTGAGAGGCACAAGAAACCAGGTTCATCTCTGATAATATCCTGTTGTTATGGTGTTTCTACTACATGGGTACATTTAACACAGAGAGATCCTATAAGTGGTTTCAGTCATTAGGATTCAATGGAGTTAAGCCAGAGAATACACTCCCTTATAGTATTTAGAAAGTATGCATTTTGCCAGTTTGAGGGGAAAAGTAACAAAACATTATGGACCTTGTGGCCCATTATTAAAATAGCCTGAGTATTCACACATTGTAGTTCCTCAGCATTCTGTTCTTTAAAACAAAATATTTGAAAAGTTTAATATAGTAGATGCATAATGACATTCATTATGATAACAGCTGAAAAAGCAGTTTGCATTATTATGACTCTTTGGAGTCCATGTTCTTTTCCCCAAAAACTCACTGTGACTGAAATTTTCCATGCTTGGACTTAGCCCAAAGGTGATTTAAAATTTTATGTATGTATATGTGTGTGTGTGTAATGTGTGTATATGTATGTGTGTGTATATATACACATACATAAACCAAAGTTTTCCAGTCACTTTCAAGCTTTATAATTTAAAACACCAATAAACCTTTTCTTAAATGTTTGTATTATTATTGTCATGCTTTGGTTCTGACTAATACTCTGTCCTGATCTAGTTTAATAAAGCAAAGCTCAGAGGGAAGGAATCTTTGGTCCCAACATATATTATCAGACCAGGGCAGCTTGCTACTGTTGGGGAAGGGATGTTGAATAAGAGAAGCTTCTATAGAAGAGAAAATACTACTGCTACCCAACAATGTTGGTTTGGGCCTTATAGATCAGCAAAAACCCAGGGCCAGATTCTATTCCACCTCTTAGGCATGTAAGTGCCTAAGTACTACTCTGTTTCACTCTTTTTGAGTCCCGGAAAAACTATTAATGCAAGTGTCTCATTAGGTGCACTGCTCCTAAGAAGGGAGTGACGAGCCCAGCTGCTGGTTGCCAGGGCAACCAGAGGAGGTCAGCTGACCAGAAGGGGCAGGACCTGGCTCCCATATAAAGCCCAGGGGCTGAGGCCAGGCTAGCATTTCCCTACCAGCAGTCAGGGAGGAATGAGCTCTCCTGGAGCAAAGCTGAGAGGAGAGGCCTGACCGCAGGTACAGCCCAAGCCGGGTAAAGGATGGAGTATCCCTGGGGTGTTGGGAGAAACATAGTTATAGCCGGGTGGCTTCAGTTTATGTTATAGCCAAGGGGCTTGTGTTTTGTTTACTGTCTAATACCTGTTGGGTGAGGCTATTAGGGGTTGGAGGAGGCCTCATAGGGGACCCACAGCAGCGTGGGGACCCCAGTGCCAGCGAGGGCGCAGCATTCGGGGTGCACTGACCCCAGCCTCAGAAAAGGGGCAATTGAGAAGCCCCAGAGAGAGGGCAGCACTGTGAGAAGCCCATGAGAGGGGGCACAGAGTGAGACAGGGCTGTGGAGAGCCCTAGCGCCAGAGAGGGCACAGATCAAAAGAGGCAGGGCCCGGATAGGACAAGGGGGCCAGATTATAAACAAGGCCCAGACCGAACAACGTCTATTCCATCTGCGAGGCTTGGGGCGTGGCAAAGGGGTGGTTGGAGCCACGCATAGCCCATAAGGCTAGGGTGCCCCGAATACCCACTATAGAATGGGGCCCACAAAGGGGTCCAGGAGCCCATGGGGCTCGGATTACATCTAAACCGTGTCCAAGAAGACGTGAAGGCAGCCTCCCTAATATAGTTGAACACCAAAGATGTGGCAGGGAAGAATTTGAGGGTGCTCTTGGGCCAACTTGGCACGGGAAAGGAGCCTTGAGGAGATCATGGCCCTCCTGCAGGACTCCGCGCCGTGACAGGAAGTTGAGTGGATCCTTCCTGGTAGTGTAACCAGAGAGGGCAAGCAAGGCACCAGACCCGGGCACTGATTTAGAAGGGGTACCAGCATGGCCGTCTCCCCCCTGAAGTCTTTCCCACAGCAGATGCAGCCCTGCACAGCCCAGCCATAGGAGCCAGGCAGATGCAGACCCTGCACTCAGCATTGTACCCTGGGGAGATTTTGCCAGGGCAGCAGATGCAGTAATAATTACATTAAAATGCCTTTAAGTTGTTAAAAATTGTGTTTACAACAGCATGAAAGATGCCTTTCTGGTTTTTCAGCTGTTTTTTCAGGATGTGAAAATGAATGGCTTTCTGCTTAAAAGATCCCTTCCTGGAATCAACAGGGCTAGGGACAGACATTCAAAAAGCCTGAACCTGAATTGATTCAGTCTTTGCAGGTTAGTCTAACCTGGCTAGGCTAAATCAGTGTTGTAACCAGACAGACATCCCAGAAATGCAGGCACTTACCTGAAGTAGCTCAGGCTAGAAACCAAAGGGTCCTAGAGCAGCTTTCCCTTCCTTCCACAGCACTAAACTGGGAGGGGAAGGGGGGGCCCCAGCAGGATGTTCAGATTACTGATAGCCCAGCAGGGAATTGATAACAGTGTTTATCACCCCTAACTCAGTGTTTATCACCCCATTAAGAAAACAATAGAGGGACATTACCAACTACCTGTTGATTCTAGGTTTTGATTCAGCACGACTGTAGCCAGCATGTGGTCTGCTAGCTAATACAAAGACTTGGCAAGGCAAGGCAGAGGGGAGTGGGGAATTCCTGCTTAGCAGGGAATGGTGAGGGGAAGCAGCCTGCAGTCTGTGTGGGAGCTGCAGCCAGAGAGCAGAAGGGAGGGGCCAGCCCTGCTGTGGAGGAAAGAGCCCCACCCAGCCCAGAAAGCATGCCAGGATGGTGGGGGAGTCAGTTTTATCTTAAACCAGCAAGGCGTCTGGGACAGACATTGCATAAACTGGTTTGAGACAAATCGGTTAAGTTTGATGCTACATTCAACCAGGTTTATCTCAAACCAGGTTCAGCCATTTTTAAACTGGTTTATATGCACTGAAGATCTGTTCTGTTACAGGTTTAAAACAGTTTGTGATCACTCAAACCGGTTTATGTGCAATGTCTGTCCCTAACCCAGGTGACACACATTTATGAAATGCTAATATGTCCTGCAAAAAAGGATATAATAAGGGCTTCTAAATAATTTCAAGCCACTCCACTCATTACTTTACATTCAAATTCAAATACATCTTATATTTGAAAATGTAATGTATGCTACTAGGAGAAATAATATGTCATTGGAGAAGGCTACAGAGTCTTTATTTGTGTGTGAAAACATAAGAAATTATTTTTTCCCCTCTCTAGCTTTGTATTTTCTTGACTTAAAGTAACATCAATTCTATCGCATCTGTTTCAAGAGTTGAGTCAAAATGGTTTAAAGTATTAGGCTGTTGCTGTATCCTTTTTCAAATTACTGTGATTGAAATCCATATTTTCCTTGTACAGAAACTATCCCATACTGAGGAAAATCTGACTACATCTAGATGAAACATTGAAGGACTGTTAGAGATCCAGCTTGTAGACTAAATGAGTAAATATCTCTTGACTATTACATTTTCATAGGTAAAAGCAATTTCAAGCAGTAATAATTTAAAGCTGATGTGGTGGTATAGTAAAAGACAGTGGCCACATCTACATGAGATGCTGACTGTGCAGTAGCTCATTACTACTGTGCAGTAGTATCACGTGGCATGGAGCGTGATGCAACGCTACTGCACAGTAGTCTCAAGCTACTGTGCAATCAGCATCATGTAAAAGCCATTTGGCGAAGCTACTGCGCAGTAACTCTGGTTACTGAGCGGTCATTTAGTACATGTTTATACACGTACTACATGACTATGCAATAATGATGGAACAGTCAATGTCTCGTGCAGACATGGCCAGTGGGTGCATACACACATACTAAATTGACTTAAAATAAAATTACTTAACTAAGTCAACTTAAGTTAAGCTATGTTGGAGCATACACACGTACACCTCCTTGACATGGTGGCAGGCATCTTGTGAGCTAAGTTGACTTAACTAATGCGACTTAAGATAATACACCTCAGCAGGTGTATTATTTTGTACCACATTTAAGTCAATTCTGCTCAACATATGTGTGTATGCTCTGGCAGTTAAGTTGACTTCAAAAAATTAAATTGGCTTAACAGTCAGAAAGTTAATATGCATGTATGCAATATTATTCTGTAGATGGATTAAAGCTGTACATGCACTTTGACATTTCTGAATTTTATGGCTTGATTCTACTCTTTTACAGTTTTCATTTAAATATTCTATGATAAGGTGCCATTCTATTTATTCTAGTAGAGGGAAATTACTTTCTAAAACTCCAAAATAGCATGGCTAGGGAGCAGTTATTTATTTTTAATAAACTTATACAAGATGCTCCACAAGATAGGCATTAGAATAAGATCTACACTAAATAAACCAAAGAAATATGTCTTAATGGATAAATCTTATTTCAGGGGAGAATACAGGAACAGCCAAACTGAAACTGCCTTTACTAAATTAACTTTAAGGTTGGATTCAGATTGCAGCCAGTCAACCTGTTGGTAATGCAATACATATCAAAAGTTTTGTTGTCTCTCTCATTTTTGAATTACTTACCGTCGTCGGGTCAAGAGACTTCTCTACATAGAGCCGCTTGACCATTTTTAATGTAAAAAAATTGCTGAGTTTGGAAACATCAGACGTTACTGTTTGGAACCCAAAGGCAACATCTTTGACATTCTCCAAATGGAGTACCTACAAGAAAACATGTTAAGATGTTATACCTCTTGCTTGGCTTGATAACTGTCATGGGTCAACAATAAATAACATCACTATAGGCGTGTCTACATGAGATTCGCTGAGTCTCAATAAGAGCTTTAGGACTACTCACGCAAGTGGAGTAGCTCATGTGCTCATGTTCATGCCACAGTCGGGTGTGTCTTTTCTGGTGCATGGGTATATTCCTATCTGCAATCACAAATGTTTAGCCCTGAAAAAAAGTGCTCTGCTTAGTTTTTCATGTAATCCTTCAAGTAGCAAAGCACAGGCACTTTCTGCCATCCGGTTCTTTCCTCAGAAGGTGTGAGAGTGTACAACATGAGGTTGTCATCTTTCCAGATGTGCCATTATAACAATTGCAAGTTTGTCATGGCCAAGCTTCACCCCTTACTTTCTTAAAAATGCCACACCTACCTTGATTTCTATGGTGTAAGTACAAAGAATCTTTCTGTACCAAAACTATAGCCTACCTGCAAGCAGAGGAGAGTGGTCTTTTCTAAGGTTTTCTCAGCCTCGGTGGAGGAGGCAGGCAGTGGATTGGAGCCTCACACCTGGGGGGGGCTCCAATCTATTTGCCCTCAACCCAGGTCCAGTGAGGCTGAGAAACCCTGGAAGACTTCCCTCCCCTACTTCCTCCCCCATCCCATCCAGAGACAGCAACATAGCTGGGGCGGGGGGCAGAGCCAGGGGAAGACACAGCCAACTGGGGGATAGCATAGCCTGGATCATGCCTTTGGAACTGTAGCAAGACATCTGATCCACTGTGCCACTTCCCCCTTCATGCTGCTAACACACCCAGCTGTTAGAAGTCCATTGATTCAGGACGAAGCTATTCTCCAGAAAGTGTAGTAGTCACAGCTGTAGCCTAAGCCACAATGGAGCCTTTGTTATGAATGCATGCATGGATTAATTCAGTAGATCATAGCACCATCTAAGCCAGGGATGTCAAAGATTCAGCCCATGGGCCAGGTCCAGCACATGAAGCCATATCTTTCAGTTCTCAGTGGTGCCTGTGAGTCTCAGAGTGATCCATAAGCAGCAAGCAGGGCATGCCACATGGCACCCATTCCAGCTCACATCCCAGAGCAGCAGAGTGGCTACCATGTGCAGCACACCCCTGTGGCAGTGGCTCTAGGGGCATGTAGCACAGCCTGTGGCAGCACAGTCTGTGCAGTGCAGCCCTGGAGTGACCAGAGCAGGACCCACCTGCATACAGCACCCACTCCAGCCACTTCAGGACACAAGCTGGATCCAGAATTCAGGCCGGTCTAAGGGTCTGATCCAGTCCATGGACCAGCCCTGCATAATTCATCTAGACCACAGGGCCAAAAAAGTTCGATACCCCTGATCTAAATCACGCTCTTTCCCACATATACACATTGCGCCAGATACTGTTCCACCAATTGGGTGTCTAAGTGGATGTAGGGCACCTACTTGCAGTTTACTGCACCCTGCTCGAGTCCATGTAAAATTTTATTAATGCAAAAGATGGGTGGGTCTTCCTCCTCCTTATTGCTTTTTTATGAGTCAATCTTAAGGGTAAGATGACAGTGTGTTACAAAACTAGTTGCGTGAATGGATTTCCAGAGACTTCCACAGGGTGAAATAGAATCCCACTTAGGCACCTACGTCCCCTTAGATGTGCAGTACGTAGACTAGAATCTGTCCCATTATGTGCATGTGTTGAACAAGCTTTTGCTATGAAAAGATCTTTTACTATTTACCAACTTTTGCTATTACCTAGCAAAGGAGTGCAGCTTTGAAAGGAATATGTAAAAAAGAAACAGACCACACCAGCCAATGGCATATTTCTACAGCTAAGCAAGAAACTCACCTGTTTCATTTGGGTTGCAGTGTCACCTTTGGCAGCTTTGTATGCCAGAGCCAGAGAGGTTGAAGTACACAGTGGAGCAAAAACAATGTTGGTTGTTTTGTCCTTCTCGCACAGTTTTTTGAAGACATCACCTGCAAAAGCAGTGTTTGCTAGTTGCAGAGCATCAATACTCATCCTGAAACAGGAAAAAAGTGATGTAACTAAAAACATACCAGTAGCTCATGCTGTGAAACTTCTTGGCTGCGCACCAACTTCTTCCTCATGATTGAGAAATGGATATGTAATAAGAGTTGGATGAATGCGATAACTGCCCTTTCAGACTAGGTCTGAGGTATCGCAATTTTGCCCCACCTGGAAGCCTGAGTGTTACATCTGTGCTCTGGGCAATCTGAACAATATAAGAACAGTTATCCCCATCAGCAGCTGGTGGCACAATATGTGATATCAGCCTAGCATCATCAACAGCAGTTGCAGAAGCTTGGTCCATTCAGGATGGAACTATGCATGGTGAGGCACAGTGGGTGCATCTACATGAGACACTAAATGCACAGTAGAATCAGTCTACTGAACATAAGCATCACTAAAAAGGCATGCACTGGTACTACTGCACAGTAGCACAGGTGACTGCACATTGAGTTAGTTCCTGTTATTACAAGGGGTGCACGTGCCTCCCAATTAAACTTTACGGTATGATCCTGAATATTCACATCCAGCATTTTATTCTCTTAAAATGAAAGAGAAAGTCAAAATTACACTTGTAAAGGAATAAGCTGTGACAGATTCCCTGAAACTTTGAGGAAGCCTTAAGGCTCTTACACTAGAAAGAGGTCTCTCACTTGCCTAATGATTTAATATTTTATTGCTGTCTCTAACATTTACTTGGCAATTTCATATAATTGACATCATAACCAGAAAATATCTCATTGATTATAAACAGCAGGTTATGAAGAAACTTATGAAGGAAAATCATAGCCACAAAGATAGTACGCTCTTTGTAACATAATGTATATCTTTTCAATATTGTAATTTATAACACATTTCTGTCCAAATTTATACATGCTTATTTCTATTTGCAAAAGAATTTTTGAAAGGATAAATGCTAACATTTGTGGGCACAGACAGAAGTGACATTTTCTGTACGATCTGGCCCCTGCAGAGGGGGGCGAATGTCTGTTGGGTTAGGGGGGTGCTCTAATTCACAATGCTTTATATAAAGCGCCGTGAGTTAAAGCAGGAATGTGAACATCTCTCAACACCCTGTGTGTACATTGCAACATGATGCAGTGCTTTAGAGGATGGAATTGAGCACACACTTAGCAAATTTGTGAATGACACCAAGTTGGATGGAGTTGTAGACACTTTGGAGGGTACAGCTAGGTTCCAGAATGACCTAGAGAAATGATAAACTGGAGAAATGGTCTGAAATCAATCAGATGAAATTCAACAAGTATTTTGAAAATAATTTGCCTAAAAGGCTCAGGATAAAAAGATCATTAAAATATACTATGCATTTTAATAATGTGATGTCACCAAATAGAATAACACCAGTTTCTTGTGTGAAAAACACAACTGATATTCCATCCTTGCCAGGCTTTCTCAACAGCAATTAATACTGGAGTGGGTTTTTTCCCCCACTGTATAGAAATATTACAGAATCATTCTGAGGGGGAAATGTAAAATTATTGATAACTGATAAAAGTAACACCCAAATAAGGTGTGAGATTTTTTTTTACAAGGCTTTTATTCTAGGTTTCAGCCAGCATCTAAAGTAGTCACTCACTTTCCAGCAATCATGCAGTACATACCAAATGGTTTGGTATGCATTTGCTATCAGTGCCCTGTCATATTTTGGAACAGCAGTAACATAATGCATAAAGTGGGAACACACCTCAAGTGGATTGTGAGGCATAAGGCAGAGAGCTAGGTTCCAGCTCCTACCCAAGAACTGTAATCGGTTCTGCTTCTCAATGCACTCATGCTGTCCTCTGAGACAAGTATGGCTTGTTGCTAGTAGTGAATAGCTGTGTTATAGCTGAGACTAGCCACCCTAAATGTGAACAGTTTAGGATAAAACAGTTACAAGATATTGTGGATTCAAGTGGTTGGAAGGCACCAAACTGCTAGTGAAAAAGTAATTTGGCATGTGAGTAAATAACAGGCTAAAACAATCCCTTTATTTCATCTAGATTCTTTTTCTCTCTCATGCATTTACTAAACACACTCATGCACCTTTTGTGGCTGTGTATATCTAAAACATTACACACAACCACACATATATCCCTTCCTAAGTTGTTTATGTTATTTTCCTTCACCATCCCTACCTCTCAGACATGTTTCCTTTCACCAATCTAACATAATGAATTTAGGAATTATTCTGGATTGCTTTAAGTAAAGGGGTCCCAGCTATATGTTTTGGGGTAATTTGTACACAGGTGTGACATCAGACAGACCCAACAGGTCACTAAAAACATGGCTTTTCACAACTATCATCCTTTCCAGGACTAAATTCTCTGAAATAATTTATTTTTAAATACTAACCTATTCATCATCAAAACACAATATTACATCTAAATCCTAGTTGACCTGTCATTTGTAGTTAGGCTCTTAGCTGTATGTTAGACACTAGGACACAATAAGCACTGTTGATCTCCTTTAAAATGTTTGCTGTATCCATTCAGTCTGTTGATAAACAATTCTACACAGCTCTTACAGCATTACTATTTTCAGACATAATGAAAGTTGTTCTATGAAGGAAATATTTATGAATTAATGGTAAGCTACTTGATTTACTAAGTAAGGAAATCAAGTGCAAAAAGAAACTCTTCTTTCTCTTCCACTCTCATTGGTAACTCTGATACTGTCAATCATACATTTGTTCCAGTGCTTCAATCTTCTCTTGTAGTAGGGTATTCCTTAACTGTAACCTGGAGGTATAGCATGAATGTTTCATTTTTTACTCAATAATTAATTGTATTTTTGAAGTCGTTTTTATTGAATGAGTCTGGATTTTGGGGAGGGTAAATTTCTCTACTGTTATTTCTTTTTCCTAGTGACCTGACTGCCATTCTTTAAGTATTTAAAAAAGGCTCCTGCTCCCTCATCTTCCCTGAAATACTAGACTGAGAGGAGAAAAAACAATGCTTGATTTACCAGCTTGTCCAATTGCACTTAGCAAAGATTGTTGCCATGGATTATAATCCAAAAGTGTTTTCATTTAGTTCTATTCTGTGGTAGTAGACAGCTGGATTCTTTGCTCTCCAAAGGTTTCAATAGCAGGCAAAGACCTATCAGATTGCCTCTAGGACAGAGGGTGTTGGCTCCTGTGTGGAAAGTTGCAGACTATGAAACAATGGCATGCAGTGGGGCACAAAATATGAGCAATATTCCATTTGATCCTTCAGTATTTGGGCAGGATCCTTCCTCATTGAAGCAAAGCTGGAGAGTTGGGTACAGGCAGTCCTCGGACTTACAACACAATTGGTTCTTGAAAACCACGTCTTAAATCAAAATGTTGTAAGTAGGAACTGATTTTCCCATAGGAAACAATGTTATACTTGTGGGATTGGTTCCTGAACCAAAGCCTGATACCCTATTTTCACCAAAAATAACCCAAAATTTTATACTCAATTATAGATGAGTAATGTAGCTACATTAATGTATTTATACTGTAAATAGCAATTATATTGATTTGGAAGAACTTCTTTGAGGTGACTTTGCTGGGCTTTTTGAAGGGCTCTTGGTTGGACTTTTTGAAGGGTTCTTGGCTGAAGTCTTCTGGAGTCTTGTCTGCTTACTTAAAGAAGGTGTCCAAGGAAGTTTGGACAGATGTTCTCCAGGGAGATGGGCAACACAGTGAACTTGTTCACTGGTGTGGTGTGGTGTAGTGTCAGATCAAGTGTTGTAAAGTCTAAACTGACGTCAGAAAGTTGAAGCAGGGTGTCAATTTATAAACATTGTAAGTGCAAAACGTAACTTGAAACGTTGTAAGTCGAGGACTACCTGTATATGGCTATAACCAGGCCTTTCTGAGTCATGGCTCTTGAAGCTAGCATCAAGACAGAAGGGTAAAGATACCGTCCTTCTGGCAGTTGGAAAGAAGGGGGAAAGGAGAAGAGCCTGGAAAAAATACTTTTTTCATACAATGTCTACTTCTAATTGTCTTTTAAACAGGACAGGAAGCCTTTGTTGATGTCTTGACCCCCTCCACCTCCTGCTGGAATTATGCATGTTGCCACAGCCTTGGGGTTTGGTCTTGTTTCCCATATATTCCCACTGGGAAGAAGCAAGAAGGTCAGACTGATGTCCAGACCCTACATAGAAATCTCATTTAAACCCACCCCCAGGGCAAGAGTGAGTGTGCTTTCTCTTCCCATCCTTTTTCATGGGAGCCAATGTTCTTCAGGGTTGGACAGTCTGGTACACAGACATTTTAAATGGGCTCCAGGGCTTAGGCCAGTTCTGTTAATTCTTCCATATCCCTTTGCAAAGGAATTTTAAGTCTGATATCCTTCCCACTGTTCCTGCTCTGCAATATCTTCTCATCCATTTTCACTCTTGTGAGCATTCCTTCCTTCATTTTTTTTTTAATTAAAAAACCCCAAAAACAAACAACTCCCCCCCCCCAAAACAAACAAAAAAAACCCAACAACAATCAAACAAACACCGGACCTTCACTCTAAATCTTGAAGAGAGAGAAACTGAAATGTCTGGAAGGATCTGTCTGAATAAATATCTGTTATCTGTCCAGGTTTCTACAGGAGCCCCTTTTACCTCTTTTCTCAACAGTCTGGCAGTAGAACATTGCCTACCAGAGGGGTTTAAATGTAACACCCTCATGTTACCTGGATTCAAAGTGACACACTGAAGCTTTCTTCTGACCCATGGAAGACAACAGTACACCATATTTGAGGACAGTAATCTACCCAGGCTCAATACAGATTAAAGGATGCTCTGAGGCTGTCATCATTAATCCATCAAAGTACTGTACTGATTAATAGGGCAACACATTATAAAATAAGTTTCACATAAAGAAGGAATCTGTGAGGTTACAGAGCAAATTTTAAGGTGACCTAATTGCTACAATGAATATGTTCTTTTACTTTGTCAAGCCAGAGAGCAACTGGCATCCTCAGAGATAGTTTAAAAAAACAGTTTGTACAAAAGAGTTGAATATGGGGGAGCATCTCTTGGAGCTGCTTTAATTAAAGTGCCCCCTCTCCTCCCAGGAGTGAGGGGCACTTTATAAGTATGTAAAAGTATCCCGTGCTGTTTAGTTAACGCACATTAAAATAAGCTAATGTGTATTAAATGTCATTTAAAACTCTGCCCTTTAATGCACATTAAGACAGGCTAATGCACATTTTCTTAGTACCTCACAATGAACGGTGTCTACACATGTGTGGAGGCTGCTCCAACGCACTGGAATTCTAGCGCGTCGGAGCAGACTCAATTAATTGAGTCTGCTGGGACATGGAAATTGCTGTGCTCCAGCAGCCTTCTGCATCTTGTGTATCAGTGTTCCCATGCTTAAAAATGGTGCGGGGTGGGGGAAGGGTGCTCACTAAATGAGCTTTAGTTCAAGCACCCCCAGTGCCATTTTAAAACCGGGGACGCTGATACAGGAGACATCGTGGTGCTTTAATTAAATTGGTGTCCTCCCCACCCCTGGAGCATGTGTAAAAGTACCTGGGGGTACTACATTTAATGAGTATTAACTAAAGCACATTAATGCATTCCTACTTTGAATCTAGCCAAGTTAAAGTTGGTAGTGACTTTAACATTGTGAAAATGCTCTATAGGAATGAGTGTGGTCTCAGACCAGTTTCTAACCGGAAGTGCCAACAGTACAAAAAATACCAAATGGATACACTTGGCCATCACAACAGAGAAAACTAAAATAAACCGGTCCTGGAAAATGCCCATCTATTCTGAGTAGAAGTCCCTGAATGTAAGCCCATTTGCCTGCATTCCTG